TAGGCGTGCGTGAGTTTCCAGCAAACTAGGAAGTTTGAGCTCGGCCGCCTCCAAGTGAGTGGATGCCACACGTTTGAGGTTAGCCACAGATGGTTTGAGTTTATTTCTACGCAGCAGTGTGAGAAATGAGCGGGGGTATCTACGCAGGAGAATACATTTCGTAAGAAGGGATATTTTCACACGTGCGCACACGATCTTGCACCTCAGGCTGATTATACGATGAAGCAATGTGATAGTTTCAGCGGGAATCCGTCGATTGAGAAATTTAAAGCAGATATTTTCATTCAGAAATTTGAAAAGCACGGTAAGAATACGAAAGTTGGTAGATGCAAGAATTTCGTATTGTCTCCTCAGTACCATTAACAATAGCCGGCATACAACTATATACTCACATTTGCGTGTGACCAAATAAGCGCAGTTCTCACACTGCTGCGTAGAAATAAACTCAAACCATCTGTGGCTAACCTCAAACGTGTGGCATCCACTCACTTGGAGGCGGCCGAGCTCAAACTTCCTAGTTTGCTGGAAACTCACGCACGCCTACTATATGTGATAGAGAATTTATCGTTGTGTTGTCGTGTTCTGCTCGTTAACTTTTGCAAATCCACTCTCGACCGTACAAGGCGAAATCGAAATACTCGGTTGGAGAACTCGCTGGATGAGGAGCCAATTCTTCGTGATCCTAGTGATTGCGTGGTGAATTTATCAAACGTACAACTCGACGCTTTGCTGTTAGAGACTTTGTCATATGGGCTTGATTAGAAAATCCCTCCTAGAAGGCTGGACGAGTTGTTTATGGTAGCGCAGTTTGAGAACTTTTTTAATCAATTGAAGGAGCTTCAACCATCCAGTCCTGATAGTGTTGTTTGGTATAGAAACAAATTGACCGACATTGCCCATGAAGTTAAGACTGTGTCAGTGACTGAAAAATGCGCACTTACAGGCCGACACCTTCAGGCGCTGCGTGAACTACACACTAAGAACGTAGCTGTGATGAAACCGGATAAGTGCTCCGGAGTGATGGTCATGAACATGGCCGAGTAAGCTCAGAAAATGAGTAGCATACTCAACGACACGAGCAAATTTGAACGACCTACTAAGATGGGGAACGTAGCCGACGTTGAAGCTGGCATAGCTGCCCATCTTGAAATGCTGCTCCTTCATCGCGTGATTGATAGTGACACCTATAATTGTTTGAAGCTAAGTGGCAGCACTACTCCGCAGCTATAGGGGTCACCGAAGACGCACAAGAGTGGAGTACCACTTAGGCCGCTTCTATCAATGGTAAATGCGCCGCCGCATAAATTGGCTCGCTGGCTAGTGAAGATAGTTTTGCCTCTGTGACAACTGTGCAATCCATGTAGTCTCAAAGATTCTTTCCAACTTATCGCTGACTTAGATGACGTCAACCATCCCGATAAGGTCATGTGTTCCTTGGATGTGGAATCTCTATTTACCAACGTCCCACTACAATCTGTGGATTACATATGTGAGCTAACTGAGCAATCTAGTTATTCGTCATCGATTCCAGTCGAATTTCTAAAGGATTTCTTACTTCTGTGTACAGCAAATGTTGGCTTCCACTTCCAGAACACCCCATATCGTCAAATTGATGGTGTGGCAATGGGTAGCCCACTGGGCCCTGTACTTGCCGATTTCTTCATGCTAATGATAGAAAGAGGCATATCCGCAGAAATAGCCCAGTTACCATATTATAAGCGTTATGTGGATGACATATTGGCCTTTTGTTCATCGGAGCAGCAGTTTGTGCAGCAACTCAACTGTGCACATACCAACTTGCGGGTTACATGCGAAGTGGAACAGAAGAACTGTCTGCCATTCTTAGACATCCTCATCAGTCGCAGGGATGACGGGCTCATTTAAAGGTCTATCTACAGAAAAGCAACCTGGTCCGGCCAATACGTGCACTTCACGTCAGTGCGGTACAAGCGGACCCTTGTGAAAACTTCAGTTAGTCGCGCTAGACGAATTTGCTCGGCTTATTGTCTAGCCGACGAGCTAGAGTTAATTACAACAACACTCATTGCAAATGGTTATCCACGTAGAATTCTAGAGAAACACAGCCAACAGCGAGGCCCGAAAGACTTGGTGCATACGGCAACCAAGAAAAAGAGCTGTATCGAGTTGCCTTTCAAGGGGGACATTACTGTATTGAAAACCACGAAACATCTAATCTCTGCTATGCAGAGAAGTGTTGCTCAGGTTTGCTCAGGTTGTGGTCATCAATAGAACCTGTAATTTGCCGGTGCCTCCAACGAAGGAAGCTCAACCGATAGGGGCCAACTCACACTGCATATACAAATTCGTGTGCGACTGCGGAGACAGTTACATAGGCAGAACCAATCGGTCTTTCACTTCCCGAATAAAGCAACACGTGACAAGGTGCAATCGACCAGCATCCCTGTCCCACCGAAGTTCCGTGCTTGCGCAAGCCGCCAGCTTCCTCAATAGGTAAACACCTACTGACTACGCGTCACGGGATCAGCGTTCACACTTGTATTACGTTACCCTAATCCCCGCTTCCTCCGTTGCGATAAGCCGGCGCTGTGCGTTCAAAAGCAATTATTTGTCAGCGCAAGGCTGCCGTGGACATAGGGGTGGAACTTCCGTCATTCATTTTGCACCTCATGTTTATTCGGTCACACGCATATGTAAGTACATAGATGCATACCGGTTATTGTTAATGGTAGTGAGGAGATAATACGAAATTCGTGCATCTACCAGCTTTCGTCTTGTTATGGTGCTTTTTAAATTTCTGAAGTGAACTAACGGCTTTAAATATAATATCATACTTGTATTGTGTGCATTTTTAGTCCTTTATCCTATTGTATTGCGGCACATTACCTAAGGAGTATTTCTCACCCTCAGCGAAAGTGTACTGATGATGATGCCGTTGAGCGGAAGATAAATGAACATAAGAAGTAAAAAAACAATCATTAGAAAGCCACATTTTACGCCTGCAGACAGGGGGCCATGCACTTTACTGGATGCGGAGGCTCGACTGCGTCACAAATTTGTGGATCTGATCAACCCTGGGCTGGTTTTTCTCACTTGACGTCGTCGCGGACAAGAGCACTCTAGCTTGAAATCTCGGTCAATAAATGCCTTAACTGCCACCTTTCAGCAACTTCGCTCTAAAGTTTAACTGGAAAGTGAATCAGTCGGATGAAGAAAGTCACGAAACCTTAGGTGATCACTTTAATAGGTATCATGCGCGCAATTTGTAGTGCACATTTTTAGTCACAAGCACGCCATAACATTTGGGCCCCACAGATCCGGATCATCCGCAGTCGTACACCTGTGACTGTCTTGACATCCGGACCCACTGAACCTGTCTGAGCACTGGTAGGTCGTCCTAACAGTGTCATCCGACAACCTTCGTCCGCTGATGTATAATAGTATATATTTGAATTACCCGCTTCGCGCAGAAGATGCAAAGTTATGGCGAGCGATTGGTTGCAACCAAATGGACGTATACGAATTGTCGTGCAAATACCTCTGCCAAATCCCCACGTAACACTCCATTTTGTTGGTACATTCATTAGTTAATATTTATCTCTTCATTACGGCCATCCTACGGGACATGTCAAGCGTTAACTGGTTGGCCCGTTATATACCAGCGTACCGCCATCTGTGATTGTGGACTACGTGTTCACTGGCCGTTAGATAGTGAGAGTTTCGCTTGCTGTAAGAAAGCAGTGCCTACCCGACATGTAACAAAATTGTCGCAGTAGTATTTCGGCATTATCCCTCCGAGCAGACCGTCACTCTATAACCCAAGACGGCTACGTTCCAACCTGTATTTCGGTTGTGTAAGCTAATTTTGTCGTCTTATCCGTAAACCTGTCATAACGCTTTGGCACCACCGCTCCAGATCATTCGCAGCCATGCACCAGCCCTCTTGTCACAGTGCTGTCGAATGCCCGAGCGTTGGTAGGTCGCACAAAACCTTGGACTGCGCCAGTGCCAAACTAACCATAAGGTGGCTAATAGTGTCGCAAGGCATACCCGGTAGTCCACTTACTGCCGCTGAACCCTCCACCCAGTCGCACCACGTGTTTGGACAAGCTTGTACCCCTAAGCTGGGTGGAACTAGCTTCAGTGTAGACACTCATTGCTGAATACAGGATACAACGCCCACGCGCCTCCACCAGATACCACCAATTCATACATCTATGCAAGGGTTATTATATCTAACATCATTGACTGATTTGGGCTAGCTCAATTCCAAGGACATTACGCGCGCATGTGCGGCGGAAAGATATCGGATGCATTTCAAGTGCGTTAAAGACGATGTTCAATTGGCTTGTAGATGTAAAAAGCAAAACCATATGGAGCAATTCAATTGCACTATGGCTGCAATCAGTGGGGAAAAAGTGTGGCAGGACTGAGGGCACATCTAGCGTCAGAATAAGGGACGAGCAAGGTTCATGAAACAGAGCGACAGCGTATAATGAACAGGTGAACACTGAAGACACAGAGAAATAATAGTCAAAACTAATCATCATTCTACAGAGAAACTATCGGGAGCTGTGCACATTGTGTACTGAGGAGCTAAAAAGAGCGTCCCACCACACTGAACCATACCTCCAATAAGTAACAGGAGCTCCACATCCTAGCAAGTGCCCACAACTAGTAAACGGCAGGACACGGATCCATCTTACTTGCAATCCACGAAACCAAAGAGTTCACTATATTCTGGTGGCCTATTAGGTTTGGAGCAACAAACGCATGTTAGTAAGTCCCCGCGCGAGGAGCCAATGAACGTAGTAGGGTGTATGAACAATGTTCACTCGCGAGCGCTTGAAAGTGACATAAAGATAGCGAATATTTACTGGAGCAATGTTTGCAGAGACTCGGTCTCTAAACGAATGCCCGCAACCGGCAGACGCTTAGACCGAGCAGGTGGTGCGAGCAACCAGAAGACTAGTCAGTAAAGCCCGTCTCGGTGGAAGCAAATACAAAGGTGACCAACAAGTACTTATTAAGCACGAAAATACTTTAGTGGGGCTTCATGTGCATAAAATCAGAGTTTGCAATACTATTAGAGGTGATTGTGTTGCGTCGCAGTACATTGTGTTCGTTTGAATGTATGCATGAACCAACAGTAGGGAAATGAAGCAAAATGGAGGATATTTGCAACGCAATTGCAGAAAATAGCTGTACCATTTGACATTACATCTTATCACATCATCAAAAAATAATAAAACAAATTGGGGGAAACAGAATACCTGTTAGGTTTAGATTGGGCCAGTCGCAATGCAAAAATAGACTAAATGGATTGCAGTCGTCGAAAAATGAAATACAACTGAAATCTCTGAGATTGAGAAATCCACTGTGTGGTTGGGTGTAGAAGTACAGGGATTGTTGGTCCATCGTATTTGACAAACATTGCAATTTACAAGAAAAAATTCAGATGAATGGCCATGATGAATTTGTCCTTGTCAAGTCGATCGGAGTGCTCACTGTCAAGTACGGATAGTAGGTACGATTTCGTGGGACATCCTTTCCGCACATGGTGCCGGATCGTTGAGGATGGCGGCCAGTGAATCAAAAAGGAGAGCAGTTTCGTAAACATCCGGCGATGGGGGGACCGCCACTATATTCAAAGGCACTAGTCCTCTGGCGAAAACTCGGATGAGCTGGCGATGGACACTGAAGAAGTAGGGAATACGCGCGATGTGACTTTAGTCTACACAAGTGAAGTTAAAGACAACAGCGATTAGCACAGAAGAGATAACAAGAGCATCAAAATTAGGTTTAGAATGATCACTTCAGTAGAGGACCTAAGATTCGACGAACTGGGGGCTGGAATGAGAGGGTACGCTGTGGCGCATATGGTCCAATACGTCTACCATGATTGATGACGAAACTTAAATAAGCAGGTGCGAAGTAAGAGTATCGTACCCCTTTAGTCGATAAACGAAGTTCACGACGCCACGGGCGGAATAAAGACGAGGCATCAGCTGTCCGATTTGGTATGGGAAGGATTGGACGGTATAGTAAAAGCAATTAAATCTCTCCAACATTTCAAACAACATGGTGAGCAGATGAAAACTGGCCGAACCAAATATTTCGTATTACTTCTTTGATATTTGAAACTAAAACGATGCAGCATACAAATGGCTACAAAATGGTGTGGTGTATAAGCTTGATGGATGCACTAGAAGTGCGTTGACTTGTTTGTGTCGCAAGGTTGAATAGGTGTGGGTAGCTGAAAACCGCAACCAAGCTCTTCCCTTGAAGCCGCCTTATATTTACGCGGTACTCGACAACCCATGGTTGTACGATTTCGTAATGCGTAAACTCACTGACCGAGAATGCCGTTTTCATGTGTATACACTTACGCTTTATAAATAAAGTCGAATAACTTTGTTGAAGGTAATATGGGAGCGAAGCATCAGTAATGCTTGCTGATATATTTATGCGGTTATTGACGATGATATACTGGTTACTTATAATGCTACGTGCGATTTTCTAAAACTAGAACAATATGGCTGTTCTTCTTTCATTCAATCCAAACTCATGCACGTACGTTGTGCTATGATTCATGACGGTTATTATTTCCTCCTCCAGTTTGTGGTAGTCCATACACAAGTGTGAACAAATGCTCGTTCGCAACACTGCAGTACTGTAACTCGAACCAAGAACCTTTGGTGTGTCAACTGATATCTCACATTGAATGACTAAGTGGAAGCCATTTAGAAACACTTATAAGCACCACACTTCAGCCTGACAGACTGATGGCATTTTCACTCGTGTAACACCATTATCTGCTGGCTCGATGCCTAAATGGGACTCGCCTAAAGTACAAATCCCGCTAACATCTGTTCGTGTTTCGATACATTCCCACTTGACAGATGGATGTTATTACATTTCTTCTCGTGTGACACCGTGACTTATTAGGGGTTGCAATATGAAGTCAATGTATCTCATCTCAAGTGTCTCTATACGCCCCATTGTACTGCTGCCGCCTTCAGGTAAACGCACTGAGATTCAGACAAGTCATCTAGGTTGATTCCCGGAGCAGCGGCAATACGTTGTAACATCCGAATCGAAATGCATGGGCATAGGTAGTATTCTAGACACTGATGGATTGGTCGAGATATGTTAGCGGTCCGAACGAATGACCAGGGGGAAATAAATAGTAACACATGACGGACTGCTTGGTGGTTCTACCTCCCTGTTGATTCTCGCTTACCTCGGACAATAGACGATTAGAACCGGCTCTGGTTTTACTTTACGACACGGATAGCCTGCAGTGGACATAATCGCACCATTTCCCTGCTAACTTGAAAAGTTGCTTACGCCATCTCCGTCATTCATTTTGGTGTCATCCTTATTCTATATACCGCATGTAAGTCGGGCTTGGGTGTAGTTTCATTCTAGAATGATTAACTACCGACTTGGTGCAATGTGGTATCTTTATTGCACCTGCATAGAATGGATAAGCCACAGGTAACCTAACTTTTTAGGCTTATTTAACTCGGTTGTATTTCGCGATGACTTCATGTGTTGCCCATTACGATATTGTACTCATCATGATCTATGCTATGCTATTCTTGCTACCTCCGCAAGCGGCGTCTAGTATGGTTACATACCGAGAGTGAGCTATGACATCTTCATTTTCGTATTATTATTCGGCCGCGATTCATATCACTATGTCAGCTCCATGGTATTGCTCACCATAACTGTAGCTTGACTAGCTGCTCAATGCTAACTTGCATGATGCTTAGAGATCCGGTGCATCGCAGAATAATGGTTCAGTCCATCCATGAGCTCATTCGTAATTGATGTGAGTGCGGTATTTCCGAGCGATTTGTGTGCTTGCTACGGATCAATGCTAGGGTGGCAAATTATTGTGTATGTTTCCAGTTCGATGGATACGTTTGAATCGAAAGGTTATCATCGCTTGGCCGTTTACAGTACGCATAAAATGTCAAATTTGACATTTGTAACACAATGCTCAACGATTGTCCTTCGTGTGACCACTTTGGATTATGCATTCGAAGAGAAATTTCCCTGGAAAATCTGTGTCAAGTGAACAATCCCGACAATTAACCGACTAGCGATTATCACGATATTGCCATTCCATGTTCCACTCCGCAGGCTAGTGAAGAGAGTGAGTATAGTTATAGTTCCAGTTATCCCTCAGCCATACTGAATTTACCGGGGCCTATGAAAACACACGTATTAACCGGATGGAAGGCAGACGTGCAGAGACGCCTACCAGAAGTTGCATTGCACATGGCCAATCTTTTGAATGGATTAAATAAAAGGTTGCATCTAACGGGAATGGTACGTCAGTGTGTTATTATATAACATCGGAAATGAATCGGCGCATAGCGACAATGGTTTTATGAGTACCGAATGGGCTGCACCTGGAACGTACGATATAGACCGTTAGCAAATAGCTTATGGCCACAGTAGAGTACAGGTCGGTAGGTATAAACGGTTGAGTACTTGGACATTTGCACAATAAATGTGAACACTGTTTGGAAAGTCGCATGTTTGACAGTGGGCAGCGGGACTTAGTTGATGTCACTTGTCAATACCAAAGGTTGCGCATCAATCGTTCTTTGAGTAGGTGCACATGCCTCGGGCAGCACATGACCGAACCGGTCGGAGACACAGAGAGCCAGAAGTGGACACTGTATCGCATTCGCATGCTGTGTGATCTCCCACATCAGCTACTCAAACCAGACTGTACATGTAGAGGGCAACACCTAAGTGCACACTATTTCACTGTACCAATAGTCTAGTCATCATTCTACCTAGCAGTTGCTTTACTATTGCCACATCGGATTCCTTCAAATATGGATGCCCAAGATTTAAGGCAGTCACGTCTAAATGTGGAAGAAAACATCAACCGTTCGTATTGGGTAGTTATTCTCATACCTGCAAAAGTGGTTGTTAGCCTGACCTCCAAACGAAACCCATACACGTTTGTCGTACCATTGATGATGATGTCTAATGTGTCTCTATCCACTTTGTGACAGCTCACACTTAAGTTTGCATAAACGCATGTACATATGTTGCATTCGAACTGCCACTGGACAAAGATGACGCCAATCTATGTATATATGTATACCGAATGAATTCCACGAGGATCTTCATATCGCTTTTGTACGGTTAACTTAGTGCAGTAGAACGACATTCGAGCAAACCGAAAATAATATTACCAGAACATGAAGAAGGTGAGTTTATGACAAACTCATGTTGATTTCAGGTGTTGCGAATCCAAGGCAAATTTGATCGATGCGAATTCCGTGAACTACTCAAAAGGGCGGTTTCTCAGGTGCCGGAGAAGGCACAATTGTACGCGGAATAGAAGCACCATGAGTATGTTCCCATTCAATTTACTAATCCAGGCCAATAAGGCGGCGTATGTGGTACGTTTGCCTGCGTGATGAATAATCTTGCATTTCAGAAGTAGATGTTGCTTGAGCTCCCCTGTGTGGATGCGCCTGATGTGAATGTTGACAAGGTGCCTACCTGTCTATTACCCACTACCTCGTCCATACTGGCTCCAGGAGACAGTTGGTCGTCGCTGGAGGGGACGGAGTGCACCGTCCTCGTGACGGTGCTAGGCTCAAAGAGTGGTTCCATGCAACCTGTGTGGAACGGACTACGGTCCAGCCACCGCCTCGTGTACGTCTGGTGTGTATGAATTCCCAATTAGGCCGGAATGCTTCCGTTCTGCTTGTTGAAGGAGTGTGGGCCGGCTCCGTTGATGACACGTGGCTCCCATCCGCATGCCTCCCGGTCTTATTCCTTCGGGTTTACACCGGATATGGGGTGTGTGGATGGAACTATGGGTGGTGCAGCGCAAGCCACCCATGGTCCCTCTGTAGGCGCAGGCGTCCTGTGACTGTCCCCATGGACATCACAGTGACAGGCAAATCCGGATACGGACGCCGCCAAATCATACTGGCTATCTGACAATGAAACGGGGATAGGAAGACAATAGGCAGTTTGAAGTAAAAAGCTCAAAGATCGAATATCCGCAAGACATAGTGTCCCGTTAGAGTGAACAGGCCAGCTTGAGTCACAATGAAGATGGCCACTACAGTCCGGAAAAAACTCTCATTAATAAGAGAGAAGTGAGATAAGACTTCACTCATGTATCGAATTATGAGAAACAAAGCGGATGCAACCTGTGATAAGCTAGGCAGGTGAAATAAACGCTTACAAGACCGATATGTCTGAATGTTGCACTATTTCTCCATCTGAGCACCACACAGTGCGGTGAGTACGTTGAGAGTTGCGACAACGGCCCTGAATGCAGCTACGTGATTTGTGGGAGGCGGGGTGCAACAGCTTGGTGTTCTCGACGAAGCCGTTTCGGTCATCCAAGGGGATGGTCCATTCATTTGGTACACCACCGTCAAAATCCAGAGAAAGCGATTGGTCAGGATGAAATTCAAACGCGCAAACTCGAAGTGCTGTAACGAATGGTAAATCAAAGGCACCGCGCTTCTGTCGTCCTTTGAAATTTGGGTCTTGCTCCGGAACTGAACCATTTGCCACGCGGATCAGATATTGCAAGAACTGTTTGCGTGTACACTTGCTGATGAGGATCAGATCCATACACCCATCGCCAAGGTGTGCACAAGGTGATGGTCCCATTGGGGATTTGGAACACCGACAGCTCTGAACGAAAGCACTCACCGCGATAAAACGGTCGTTAATGGTTTGCCAACCTTCAGAGCAACCCTGTAAACACCATGAAGGTGCATTGTCGGAAGTGACCTCTCGAAAGAACGGCAGAAGCTTCAGTGATGGTGGGCAAATTTGCTTGCTATTTGATACAAAAGATGAGCCACAAAGGGACGCTTTCTGTCTCCCGAACCTCGTTCGAGAGTCTCGCGAGGACGTTAGTCTATCGGCAGAAGTATCTAAAATGACCGAGCAGAGAAAGAAGATGGTAAAATGGACAATTCATTAAAAAAAACAGAAAGTTAAATAAATACCCACTTAAATGAATCTAACGCTGCTCAATACTAATTTGGCGCAATCCAAATGGACCGTACTAGAAAGTATAAAATTAAAAGGGGTTTGCTTATGCAGGTAACTGGTCCCATCTGGAACTCAGTTTCACGGTATGCGTCAGTGAAGCGGCGTCTGACCAAGAACTGGTCGGGAGTGTTGGTGGGCAGTGCGAGCCTGCGTAATGGACAAAAGCAATGATAATGGGGACAATTGAATACTATTCCAACTCATTCGAAGCGCGAATTGGAAAACATATTCAGTTAGTGAAACCGTTGTGGATAAGGACATTGGTAATTAACTCGTCCTCAGACAAACCGACTTAATCATTGGGCGAAAACGTTAGGAAAGTAAGTGGCCAGACCTGCTGTGTCAGTACTAATTGCTTAAGTAACCGAACCCCTGTCGGACGATGACACCTCGCATTCTACTCAAGAGAAGATAGTATGTGAACCTGTCAAGCTGAAGCGAAAAATGGATTCTACGACTTTTCTTCATTGCTACAGCCGCGTTGTGCAACACCATACGAGGCGCAATACGGGTAGAGAATGGCAGCTGTCTGTCATATCTTCCGAAAGGTACAGATCGTTTTGAGAGATCCCCTCAGATATCGCGCCATCGGCCACTACTATTAGTATTATTAATAATAATATCATTATTACTGGATTCCATTGATCTTCATATACAAACTACTATGAGTATTACACCAATGCCGTGATGAAGCGAGGTGGGCCAGTTGGATCCACTGAACTGCGGTACCCGGATCACAGTAATTTAACTGGCCGAACTTAAGTGAACTAACTTACGCTCATCTGCTCACTACAGCCAATAAGCCGTGGCTCAAACAGAGAGGCGGTATGAACCCATTTACCTCTACCGCATGATCATGAAATTATGGAGAGATAAAGGTGGAGTCAAATGGGAAAAGGAAACACGAGATGAACATCATGCGCTGCGTCATATTCGAGGAAAATCACTGACAAAACGGCAGGAGTCCAGTGAGACGAGTTAACCTTGTGTGTAGTTCTTGTGCAAAAATCCTATTCTTCAGTGAATGTGCGTGTGCAAATTGCATCAACAACTTGGTGCAATGACGAATATGTTTGACCTGTGCTCAGTGTACCCATCTTGGGGATGTCCGCCATCTTAGTAATCAGTAACAGGAGCAGAGCGAAAATCCTTGTAAACGGCCTAGTTGATACAGAGATCGTCGCCATTATGGCAAAAGTGTGTGATCGTGGGCTTGCGCAGCATCGCCATTGGTCGAACAAGTAGCTGAAGTTCACCAATCAAGCAAGCCACAGGACAGAGAAAAATGAGTTACACAGTTCACTGGAATGAGATGAGGAAGAAAGCAAACTGATGACACTGATGTTTAGAGAACATATTCCATCCATAAAAGGAGAATTGACCCAACTAGGGGTAAAACTCTAATGAACAGATCGAAGAGTCAAGGGTAGCCACTTCAAGATTGAGGTGATTATTTTCATGGGCCAATTGGTAACCTAAGCAAAAATAGATATAATTAGATTGGCCAGATGAGCTACCCCGAACGAGATCACAAGTAGCTTCGGGCATTCGGATGCAACTCGGACGAAATAACTATTAAGCCGGTAATTCAAACAAATCTCCACGTTTGTGAGGAAGCAGATGGCACAAAAGCTGAAGGTTCAACAGCAAACGAAAGATAAAAGACAAATAAGGTTGTTATATAGCTGAATCCAATTCAACTTTACCGATAGGATAAAATGTCTTGAGTGGTAATTATACGAAGGCAACAGTGCGAACCAACTGGAAAAGCGAATATGACAGGTGATATTTTCATGCAACCTACACTTTGGAGCTGAACGTGTACACTGATCCAAACAGGACGCATTGGGCTGGTATCGGAGAGGTAACTTTGTGGTTGGTTTCACTGGACACCAGCTTGACCCAGGTCCCGAAACGAAGCTACCAGCCGACCTGTGACGTGCGGTAGAGTAGAGGATGCGAGATGCACTGAGTTCTTTGTTCTCGCGAGTCACTGGATAGAGACAATCCACCGAATGAGTTAAAGCATAGTGAGAATTCACAAGATTTGAATGCCGCCGACCTAGGATAGAATCGATATCCAGCGTGCAAACAGGACACCTACAGTCGAAAAGAACATGAAATCGGATAACAGCTGCTTGCTAAAGACAGAGGAATGGGAAAAAAGGAACATGGAGACTGAAAGGTACTTTGCAGAACGAAAATTTCGAGATAGAGGTGCCTATTGGGTGATGAGTGTGAAGTGAAACGAAAAACTTCGGCCCATCCGTGCGCAAGAGTTTAAGCGTTCGAAGAACTCCAAAAGCAGGCGACGAATTATTCCAAGGGTTTGCACCATCTTCTGCAACACCAATGATTGGTGAAACCCGGAGAGCTTAGTGGATGCTACTGGCATCCATGATGGGACCTAAGAATGACATACCTAATGCTGAGCGAACCAAATCACGCATGCCGCCATCTTTTAAAGCTCAGTCCAAACATGAAGGTGAGTGGTAACAACTTTAAATTACGCCAGCAACACAATCCGTCTAGATCCCCCGGTATGCCAAACATGGAATGCTCTTCCAAGCCGTCGGTTTTGTCCCAATTTAGGCATCTGCAAAAAGTGTTTTGATAACGCACTCCGCTCCCTGCACATGGTTAAAAATATATGGCACTCGACAATGTATCCCAAGGGCTTTGACGTAATAGAATAATAATCCACGCTGGCTGAGGTTCCTCACAAGACACGTTCGCTATAATAACTGACGCCGCTTGTGTGACACGATACCATTTTCATAACCCTGCATCTAACGTGCCGTTATTATTCCCTCCTCAACAGTGAGTGTTTTGGTTTGTTCGCACGTGTGGCCACTGCCTATACAATTCACTCTGTGACCTGTGAAACACATCATTGGCATTCTACACATTAGCCAAGGATGAGAGAAGCTATTGTGCCGCAATACAACGATAAGTTTATAGTAAAAGGAAAGTATTGTTAGGCAGGTAATTTTTGTGCACTGATGAGATCGTGGTCGGGAGAAAGAAACTCACAAAAAAGACGTCTGTGGGGTAGTCTGTTTGTCATGTCAACAAGTGTATCCAAACAAAGGTGTTCATCTTTCGGACGCCAAACACAAAATCAGGAGGCACCAACCGAAGCCAAGTTCGAACTAAGGGTCTTCATGCTTTTTGACCAAGTCATCGCTTGGCCTCCATTCCTCTTTTTCCAAGCATAACCCTGGCGCGCAAACAACTCATTACGCGGGACCTGGTGTGCTAACATGCACGACACGTAGCCCAACCATCGGAGACTGGTTCGTGAAATAACGGTGCTGAGCGGTTTACTTCCTCTTCCAGTGCTATAAACAAGGAGCCGAACACGCTCAATTCTCACGCGGATATGAGTCCAACTGCGAAGACAACGGTGGCAAACGTTACAAACCACTTTATGCCCGTCAATCTGATGGGCCAGGTTTCACAGCCGTGCAGTGGGGTGAAATAGACAAGTGCATCGTACTCAACCCAAATAAATAACTGATGTCGAGCCGGCGCCATAAATGGCGACAATTTGTAAAAGCGCCTTGAGATTTTGCTATACGCTTCGGGGTCCCACAGGCACGACACGGGCACTGCACGGCTGCCTATGTGCTTGAATTGCTGAACGGCTCTTAGCTTATTCCCACCAGGGTTCAACGCAAGGGGCATTCCCTGCCAATATTTTAGGAAGGCTTTGCATTTGGAGGTACAAAGCACAGTTTGAAATGGTTGACAGTCAGTGCTAATCTGTCCAATGTTGATTTGCACGTTCGTGAGATATCATAGAGGACAGTATTATCGTCGGGATACTCGAAGTCAAGAATTTGATCATCCTGGAGCAACTCCACACCTAAGTCCTGTTCAGCAAACACAGTCTTCATAACATCGTCAACAGCGAAGTTACAAAGGCGGGCGTTCCTATCTCACACCGAGAGATATATTGTAGGGCAGCGATAGCTAGCCATAAGCGCTCGCTATGTTCTAAGTGCGTCCGTAAAGCGCTCCGGTAATGTTTACGTGATTCTCGGGCACACCTTTCCCTAACAGACAGTCCCAAAGGTCACATCGATTCACGGAACTAAAAGCACCTTTGATGTCGAGGAACACGGTTACGGTAGGTCGTCAATAAAAGTGGTGGTGCTTCAATAATTGACATAATGTAAAAATGTGGTCAATGCAGCCTAAATTGCGAAGGAACTCCGCTTGCTCCTCATGAATCTGGCTATCGCGTGCACCAACCAATCTGTGGAGAAAGAAAGACGCTAATAACTTGGAGGCGATAGAGAACAGACTGCGATCTCTATGGTTGCTGCCTTTTGAAGGTGAGCTCCTCTTCAAGATCGGGACAATAATGGAGCAGCTCCATTCGGCTGGTAAAGTTGCATGCCTCCACATGTTCATTAACAAGAGCGGGTTCTTCGAATCTGGAAAGATGGCAGGAGAGATTTCATCTGGTCTCAAGACCCTATCCAACATTAGCAGTCCTATCTCATGTTTGAGATCTGCGTGATAAGGCGGATCAAAAGGGACTGCTCAGGGTGAAGAGCCACCACTAGTCGGTAACAATACTGGTAGATCCGGCCGAATGAATTGCTGTTCAGTGTTCAGTCCAACGTTCACATGTTACGTAGATCTAATCCACTCTTGTCACATAAAATCTCGCTAACATCAGGTTTTCTGCTACTGGTTTCCTGTATCAGACGGAATAACTGACGATGGTTAACAAGTGCAATGGCTATTTCCTTCTCTGATGCATGATAAGACCAAAGGTCTAGCAGTCGCTACTAAACAAGCACTCAGTTTCGCCGAGGTCACTGCGAGTCTTGTGTTCGCCTCCATCCGGAGTGTGTTGGCTGAGATCCATAAGCTCCAGAGACCACGTACAGACCCAATGTTCAGGTTGTCAACCAAACTTACTAAATGAACACACACCTGGTGCTAACAACGTCTGGTGAACATGCGACTTGTGACCTTCAAGTGTGTGCAGTGAATGCTTGTTCAACCCGTAATACCAGCGCAGTTTGATATGCATTCAGAACATCCGGCTTCGACAATTGCTAAGTACCTTTGCGCTCACAGCGTCGTCGTGGGCGTGCGCCGAAAAACACCCGAGACTCGGCACATACAAGTGCATGGTCGAAGTCCACGTTCGCGCTCCAAATCGAGCGATAACTTTGGAAACAGCTTTTCCAGATGTAAGTTATCGCCATGTGAGTGATTTGCGTCCAATGCTGATAGGCGCCATGTCAACCCCCTGGGGGTGCTGTGATGGAAGTTAGCGGTTGCAAGAGATAGATGATGGATTTGGAGTACCCGCTGTGTGTGGTTGGATTGCGACAAGCAATTTCTACTGAGAGCTCGGTTCACTTTGAAGAAACCGAGTTCCTCCTCAGCTCACATTATTTCCAGCTGATGAGTTCAAACCAAGACGAAACCGGTCATAGGTTGTCAGTATTAAGATGAGCAACACTGAAACACCTCCAGTTCGGATACGACCCCTGTGATCGGAATAACAGAGGTCTACTTCAAAGTAAACCGAAGTCTCAATAGAAATTGCGTTTCGCAATCCAACCACACGGCGGGCACTCCAAATCCAAGTTTGAACTGATTACCGCTGTGCCAAGTCTTACTCACGGATCTTAGTGGCATAGTGATCAAGGCGTCAGTGGTGAACCACTAAGCCCCGAGTTCCCCCCCCCAGCTCAGGTTATGTTCATCTGATGAGACCAAACCCGGATGAAACTGGTCATGCGGTGTCAGTGTTGGGGGGAGCAACACCGAAACGCTTCCAAATAGATGAGCGTCTTTATACTGATAACAACCGCTCACCGTTATCGTTACCGGAGCCTACACCGTGTTGGCCCCCCAGATACAGCACATCAGTGGGCAGCTTTCCAAGTTGGACGTTCAGATCGCCAGCAAACACCACAGCATTCGTACTACTGCTGTGACGAAGAAGCTCAATCAGCTAGTAGAGAAATCATCGTTCACCTAGTCAACGCTACAGTTTTTAGAGGCGTAGACCACAATGTAGATGAAATGTATAAACAAGTGAAAGGTGCACCGACAGGATCACCTGTATCCGGACTCATCGCAGAGATTGTCATGCACAAATTGGAAGAGGATCTACTACCAATGATTAATCCGAAACTTTGGGTTCGCTACGTTGATGATACGTTTATGATAATCAAACGTAGTCAAGTATCGGTCGCACAACAACTGCTTAACAACGCTATGGACGGCAAACAGTTTACCATGGAATCAGAGAATAAAAACAAAACTTCCTTTCTTGGATGTGTTAGTAGCCAGAACAATGAACGGCGAATTGCAAACATCAGTTTACAGAAAAAGCACGCACATCGACCAGATTTTGAATTTCAACAGCAATCACCCAAGATGTCACAAAATAAGCTGTGTACAGACACTGTTCCGTAGAATAGCAACTCATTGCAGTACGACAGAAGTGAAACGAGCAGAAGAAAAGCACTCATTCAAGTCATTTGAACGCAAAAAATACCCATGCAGTTTCCTCCGAAGATGTTTAAACCGCAAGGCCTCAAAACCGAACATACGTCAGCTATGACGAAACGTATAGTTCTGCCGTACATAAAGAACGTATCGGAAATGACGGCCAGATGGTTCAAACAGCATCATATCATGGTATCCCATAAGCCAACCGCCACCCTGAGGAAAAAATTGTCAAAGGCAAAAGGAAAGCGAGACAATCGAACGACGGAATGTCGGATATAGAATAAACTGCGTAAACTGTGAAAAGCACTATGTGGGACAAACAGGAAGGAAGATGTCCACCAGGATACATGAACACCAAAGAGTGTGCAAGGAACATTACGCAACCTCATTGGTTTCAGCACACGCGGATGAAGAGGGACACAGGTTCGACGGGAACAAGGTAGAGATCTTGACCGAAGGAGAAACACAAAAAGTGAGGGAGTTTCTCGAAGCCTGGTTCTCAACCACGAACTCAATCAACATGCATATCGACATCGATCCAATACACTAACCGCTGAGACAGAGAGGACTCAAGAGGATTAACAACCGTTGTTCGAAAGAACCTAATCCAA